TGAGCCTTGGTCCCCCATGACCCTGTCTCCGGTTCTTTTCCTTCCTTGGACCACTTTTGATAGGTACTGACCACTGCAGACTGGGAACACCCGACAAGAGCTGCAGTTTTGGAGATGCTCTGACCCAGTCGTCTAGCCATCACAATTTGGCCCTTGTCAAAGTGGCTCAAATCCTCACACTGCCCATTTTTCCTGCTTCACATCGACTCTGAGGACAAAATGTTAATTTGCTGTGATGGAGAATACCAGTAGTGATAACGTCAGTTATCAGTTATCCAACCCTTGTTCTAGTGGCATGGCCCCTCTGACTGCAGTATAACTGCTAAAAAAAATTACTTGGCCATGGGATAATCAACTTCGAGCCAAGGCAAGGCTTGACCTTAGAAATCAAAAGCCATTTTTTTTCCCTTTGCAAAGAGTGACTGATGCGGTTCCACGTCTCTGCATCATGTGGTATGACTACTCTTCTTTGGACAAACCTTGCCAAAGGCAAACCTTGAAGTAATGTCATTTCTGGGAAGGTCTGACCAAATCTCCAGCTCACAGAGGTACCTTGAAGGCAGCTGTTATCAAACTTGAGCCCAGTGGGAGTTAACCATTGACAGTATATATAAGGCCTTAACCACATGTTGAACAATCACATGGCAGTTCTGCACAAGTCTGACTTCACCACCAAGGAGCAAGCATGTTTTTGCAACGATTGCTGGTCTATTTGTCGACAGTATGCTTGTTTTTCTACATGATATCACTGAACCTTATTGTGAAGATCATGAGTTTTATTTCACCAAGCCTCACCAAGAAGTTAATCCTGAAAATGGGTGAGAAGATCACCATGACCCAGAATCCCAACTTTAAGTATGAAGACTGGGGTCTGACATTTGGTTCTTTTAACTTCATCAAAGCCGCCTCTCGGCACATGTGGTTGTCTCTCGGACAAGAGGCTTTTGTTGGAGGAGAAGCTCCGGACTCACCTGTAGTCACCATGGAGGGAGAGGAAACAAGTATCTGTCGGTACTTGAAAGGTGAGTTTGACACTCGGGCTTCGGTGCTTTGGTGCAGTTGTATCTCCCTTCTGCTTCTAAATGTTGAGCTGTGTATTCTCTGCAGACAACAGACCGCTGGTGTTGAGTTTTGGAAGCTGCACCTGACCCCCGTTTATGTACAAACTTGAGGAGTTCAAGGAACTCGTCAAGGACTTCAGCGATGTAGCTGACTTTCTTGTGGTCTACATCGCCGAGGCACATTCAGCAGGTGAGTGAAAGTTGCCAGGTTAAGTCATCATCATCATCATGAAATGTATTGGTGGAGGGGAACTATGCAGATCTATAAAGGGAAAGCTCAGAAAGCAAGCAAACTTTGTTTATTAGCACCCTGAAATACTTAAAAGTGAACTCTGGACAAAAATAAATTCTCTTCAAGTTTTGAAGATGGATGTGCGCCTTAAAAGTAATTGATTTTCCTTTCCCCCTTTTACAGTATAATCAATATTTATCATTGACCTTCAGTACTTTACATCCTCATAAAAACTGCAGTATAGGAGTTTTAACTGCAGACAATTAAATGTTTTATTTTTGCATGATTACATCACTTAATATGATGAGTTAAATCTATAAAAGTCATATTTTACCATAACAATCTAATGTTAAATGTTCACTATAGAAAAGGCCTTTAAGTCCATGAGCTGTAACTTTGTGCTTGCAGACCAGTTAGTAACACTACCATAGTCCAGGCTGAATTCACCCCAATAAAACTGCTTTAATTCTTGATGTTGTAATGCACTTATGTATAAGCCATCAATCAGGATTTATTATGTGCTCCTTAACTTTGGTGTTCTACTGCATCCAGTGAAATCAAATTCTTTATCTTTATGTCAGATGGTTGGGCCTTTACCAACAACTTTGACATCAACCAGCACCAGAGCCTGGAAGACAGGCTGGCTGCAGCAAAGATCCTGGTTCAAAAAGAGCCTCTGTGTCCAGTGGTCGTGGATGAGATGAATAACGGCGCCGCCATAAAGTATGGTGCTATGCCTGAGAGGCTTTATGTGCTGCAGGCTGGAAGAGTTGTCTACAAGGTGAGATTTGTGCACCACTGACACCAAGACAAATCCCTGTTTTTTCATTTTATATGATTCTGATCACTCCTCTTATGCAACCAAGTGATTCAAAGTAATACCAGCATTGTGTGTGTAAAGGCCTCTACACTATCTGTTCTCATGCTATTGCGTGAGAAGCAGCAGGGAAAGAAACCAAGCCATGCTCATGTTAATCAGGTCAGAAATGTAAAATTAAATGTTATTACATGGCAAAGACTGTGTTGTCTTATATTGGCTTTATGATTCTAATAAAAGTGCGTTCGTAAATGAAACAGTTGGTTATTATGTGTAATTAACATCCTTCGCTCTGTGTTCCCTAGGGGGCGATTGGGCCTTGGGGTTACGATCCAAAGGAGGTGCGTTCGTTCCTGGAGAAGATGAAATAAGAAGGTTGTTTAAGTCTCAAGTCAAGCCATGTATTTGCCGTCCGACCAGTCTTATATGGAGGAGACACCGGGGGGTGTCAACATTGTAAATAACATATATTATTGATTATATAACAAAATACCGTACTGTTTTTTTTTTTTTTTTCTGTTTTCAGAATCAAACCATTACACTGTCACATCTACGTTGGTCCTATAGCTTCATCAACCATTGTATGAGTAGAAATATGTTGCCTTCAGGCTCTCTTGTACACTGAAAACGTATCTCAACTGTTGATCTCCGAGCTTGAACTCTCCTCTCAGTGTTTCTTAGTGACGGCTACAGATTAAACCATTGGCCTCTGTAACCAGATGAAGTGAAACGCAGAGAGACAGTCCAGTCAAGAGTTTGTGTTTGAGGTATCACATAATGTGCAGGAGATGTTTCAAAGACCATAAGATTGAAGTCAGTGAAATTGTTTTCCAATTCTCTTACAGGTTCATTTACCTAAAGTGTTAGTGTTTCAATTCGTATTAATCCCGATGGGTTTCTATTGTCTATGAATGCTCCAAGGTAATTTCAGAGGAGGCTACTTTTTATATGATGATTACAGTGCAAACCTCTGGTAACTGTAATCTGATGAAAGAGGACTTAAAAGTAGACCTTCTCTGAATTATGTAAACCATCTGCATCCCTATAAATGTTATTATATCACAATAAAATGTATTTTGAATGATTACACTATAGTATAATAAAGAATAACCTGTGAAGACTGCTTTATCAACTTCTAAAGTGTGTTGCAGTTCATCTATTCATTTAGTTTGTTTCATCATGACACTGGTTACCAGATGATCAGTTTGTCAGTTTCCATACTCCTTCCACTGCAGGCCAATGGAAATTAAAAAGACACAGCACAATCACATTTTGTTCTATTTTTCACTCAAAAACATGGATGATACTTTTATGTTTGTGTCTTTATTGTTTGTCTTATTTTGAAGTTCATGTGTGTTTCCTGTTTTATTACCTCTACCTCTCATTTCAGATCCCTTCACTTACTGCCCTTGTGTGTTTGCCCCGCCCTAATCACCTGCCCCTGAGGCTGATTACCCCACACCTGTGCAGTATATAGTCTCTGTGTTTTCTCCCTCCTGTGCCAGTTCGTCTTTGTCTGTTTAGTGAAACGTTCCAGCTTTCCCTCTTGTGTTTATTGTACTTAATTGTTTTGGATTCCTTGCCTGTCTTTTGACTCGCTGTTGAGTCCAGTTTTCTTGATCTGGTCTTAGCAGATCCAAGTTATTGCTCTCACAGTAAACTATTAAAATGAGAAGCAGCAGAATTTCGTGCAAGTAGAAAGTACAACTTCTGCAACCTTGTATGTTACCATGTGGTGACTTAATCCGGGTATATTCAGCCACTAATAAAAAAACTGACGGTGAAAAGATGGATAACGACAGAGCAGGTAAAACGAGTACAATAAGTAGATTATAATTCAATCATTGTAAGAGTCTTTCTCGGCTCTGATTGGGTGTTTTATTTTTAAATAAAACTGGCCTACCTTACTGCAGCTTCAACGCAGACATTTTTTTTGACACATCTACATAAAAATACCTACTATTGATCATAGTCATGGGATACATGTGCCAGAAAGCTGACTGTTAACTCCAGTGGGTGGCGAAGAAACATCTGACCTAGCTAATGTTAGCCAGCAAGCTAAAGGGCCTTCGTGGTGGACCAAGTCAAGGAGATTAAATCAGACTTACGTTCAGCGTATGGCGAGAGAGGAGAATGAAGTGGGATCCCTGTGTCTCTCTGCCTCCTTAAATGTGTAGTTAAATTAAGTAGCTGAGCAGCTGTTCGCTAATATATCAGCTAGAAATGCTGACTCCCTCACTTGGCTTAGCTTCAAGCCTGGACGAAATGCATCTCATAGCTAGGCTATCTTAATATTGTGAGTTTGTTTTGTAGTCTCTCTCTGCCTCCTGCTAGCATAAATATCTTGTAGCTTTGAATTATCACAGCAGACCAGCCAGTGGTGGAGATAACCAGTCTTTTGGCTAACGTTAGTAAAAGCGGTAGAGGCAGGGATAAAGTCACTGATGCTAAGTTATCCAACCCTTGTTCTAGTGGCATGGCGACTCTGACTCCAGTATAACTGATAAAAAATAACTTTATTGACCATTTAGCGTTAGTTAGTTAGTTTGTGTAGGATTAAGATAGCTAATTTATTTGACAGAATCGCGGAGTAACGTTCAGGGTACTGAGGCCACTCACGGGCTAATCAGCTTCTAGGCCTGTTAATGGAAATCAAACGCATTTTTCCCCCCTTTGCCAAGAGGGACTGATGCGGTTCCACGTCTATGCATCATGTGGTATGACTACTCTTCTTCGGACAAAGCTTCCCAAAGTCAAACCTTGAAGTAATGTAATTTCTGCTACGGTCTGATTAAATAGAAACCGCTAACATTCAAAAGTACGAGCTCACAGAGGTACCTTGAAGGCAGCTCTTAACGAACTCGAGCCCAGTGGGCGTTAACCTACATGTTGAACAATCAGATGGCAGTTCTGCACAAGTCTGACGGGACTTCACCACCAAGGAACAAGCATGTTTTTGCAACGATTGCTGGTCTATTTGTCGACAGTATGCTTGTTTTTCTACATGATATCACTGAACCTTTTTGTGAGGATCATGAATTTTATTTCACCAAGCCTCACCAAGAAGTTAATCCTGAAAATGGGTGAGAAGATCACCATGACCCAGAATCCCAACTTTAAGTATGAAGACTGGGGTCTGACATTTACTTCTTTTAACTTCATCAAAGCCGCCTCTCGGCACATGTGGTTGTCTCTCGGACAAGAGGCTTTTGTTGGAGGAGAAGCTCCGGACTCACCTGTAGTCACCATGGAGGGAGAGGAAACAAGTATCTGTCGGTACTTGAAAGGTGAGTTTGACACTCGGGCTTCGGTGCTTTGGTGCAGTTGTATCTCCCTTCTGCTTCTAAATGTTAAGCTGTGTATTCTCTGCAGACAACAGACCGCTGGTGTTGAGTTTTGGAAGCTGCACCTGACCCCCGTTTATATACAAACTTGAGGAGTTCAAGGAACTCGTCAAGGACTTCAGCGATGTAGCTGACTTTCTTGTGGTCTACATCGCCGAGGCACATTCAACAGGTGAGTGAAAGTTGCCAGGTTAAGTCATCATCATGAAATGTATTGGTGGAGGGGAACTATGCAGATCTATAAAGGGAAAGCTCAGAAAGCAAGCAAACTTTGTTTATTAGCACCCTGAAATACTTAAAAGTGAACATCAGGCAAAAATAACTGAAGATGGCTGTGCACCTTGAAAGTAGTTGATTTTCTTTTCCTCCTTAAATATACAGTAGAGTCTATATTTATCAGCACATTTGCATGGTTACATCACTTAATAGGATGAGTTAAACCTATAAAAGGCACATTTTACCATCAGAATCTAATGTTCAATGTTCACGATAGAAAAGTCCTTTTAAGTCCATGAGCTGTAACAGGCTGAATTCACCCCAATAAAACTGCTTTAATTCTTGATGTTGTAATGCACTTATGTATAAGCCATCAATCAGGATGTATTATGTGCTCCTTAACTTTGGTGTTCTACTGCATCCAGTGAAATCAAATTCTTTATCTTTGTGTCAGATGGTTGGGCCTTTACCAACAACTTTGACATCAACCAGCACCAGAGCCTGGAAGACAGGCTGGCTGCAGCAAAGATCCTGGTTCAAAAAGAGCCTCTGTGTCCAGTGGTCGTGGATGAGATGAATAACAGTGCCGCCATAAAGTATGGTGCTATGCCTGAGAGGCTTTACGTGCTGCAGGCTGGAAAAGTTGTCTACAAGGTGAGATTTGTGCACCACAAATTTTTTGTTTTTTTTTCATTTTATGTGATTCCGATCGTTCTTCTTATGCAACCAGCTGATTCAAAGTAATACCAGCATTGTGTGTGTAAAGTTCTCACTATCTGTTCTCATGCTATTGCGTGAGAAGGAGGAGTGAAAGAAACAACACCCACATTCTTGGCATGGAGCCAGGCTCATGTTAGCAAGGTCAGAAATGTAGAATTAAATGTTATTACATGGCAGAGACTTTGACGTCTTATGTTGAGTCTAATAAAAGTGCGTTCGTAAATGAAACAGTTGGTTATTATGTGTAATTAACATCCTTCGCTCTGTGTTCCCTAGGGGGCGATTGGGCCTTGGGGTTACGATCCAAAGGAGGTGCGTTCGTTCCTGGAGAAGATGAAATAAGAAGGTTGTTTAAGTCTCAAGTCAAGCCATGTATTTGCCGTCCGACCAGTCTTATATGGAGGAGACACCGGGGGTGTCAACATTGTAAATAACATATTATTGATTATATAACAAAATACAGTACTGTTTTTTTTTTTTCTGTTTTCAGAATCAAACCATTACACTGTCACATCTACGTTGGTCCTATAGCTTCATCAACCATTGTATGAGTAGAAATATGTTGCCTTCAGGCTCTCTTGTACACTGAAAACGTATCTCAACTGTTGATCTCCGAGCTTGAACTCTCCTCTCAGTGTTTCTTAGTGACGGCTACAGATTAAACCATTGGCCTCTGTAACCAGATGAAGTGAAACGCAGAGAGACAGTCCAGTCAAGAGTTTGTGTTTGAGGTATCACATAATGTGCAGGAGATGTTTTAAAGACCATAAGATTGAAGTCAGTGAAATTGTTTTCCAATTCTCTTACAGGTTCATTTATCTTAAGTGTTAGTGTTTCAATCCGTATTAATCCCGATGGGTTTCTATTGTCTATGAATGCTCCAAGGTAATTTCAGAGGAGGCTACTTTTTATATGATGATTACAGTGAAAACCTCTGGTAACTGTAATCTGATGAAAGAGGACTTAAAAGTAGACCTTCTCTGAATTATGTAAACCATCTGCATCCCTATAAATGTTATTATATCACAATAAAATGTATTTTGAATGATTGCAATATGGTATAATAAAGAATAACCTGTGAAGACTGCTTTATCAACTTCTAAAGTGTGTTGCAGTTCATCTATTCATTTAGTTTGTTTCATCATGACACTGGTTACCAGATGATCAGTTTGTCAGTTTCCATACTCCTTCCACTGCGGGCCAATGGAAATTAAAAAGACACATCACAGTCACATTTTTTTTCACTAAAAAACATGGATGGATCAAAGTTATTGCTCTCACAGTAAATTATTAAAATGGGAAGCAGCAGAATTGCGTGTAAGCCAGATGTTTGTCACACATCTGTAGCTGTGTTGTCTCCTCAAAATGCGAATGCCTGCAAAGTTCCAGCGTTTCTCATTTTTAAATCATGTTTCTTCTGAGAAAATGGCGGCAGCGGGGCTTTGCTGTTGACGCACACAGCAGTCTTCCACCACATGACAATGTGGCTGTTGTTTGCTGTCTTGTCTGGAAGCGATAAATGGTAAACGTACTGTGCTGTATGTGGGTCGCACAAGTTCAATGAATCCGATGGGTACAAATGCATACATGTGAGTTTTGGAGGGTGGCATTCAGGCCCTGAAGTGAGTTAATACCTAACTGTCTAATCTTGCACATCTATTGATTTTGGCTTATCTAAAATGTCTACTATAGTGTTATATAACAGTTTAATCAAATTAGTTTTTTTGGGTTGTCATGGTCTGAGTTTTATTCACGTATTCATGTAAGTGGTGAATAAGCACAAAATGCCATAACTATTACCTTTGATAATGGAAAATACTGTCGATGAAGCAGATACTTCAATGTACCTAAATGTAAGTACAATTAGATTCACAACAGCATTTTTATAATTAGTTTATTTGGCTTTCCTCTTGTCTTTGCTATAGTTTTTGTCTCTTCTTCTCCACACTGAGATTAAATTAATATTCTTCTCATGCATTTTAATATGTTCTGTAATATTTTTTCATGATTCACGCAATAATAACTAATATAAGAGCAGCATCATTGGTAATGTGGGCCTGGGCCTGTCTTATTAGTGACTTAAAAAGTAAATCCTGTTGAAAAAAGCTCTACAGTAATATCTTAATACATAAAGCATAAACGAACCCTGTGACTGTTCAAAAAGGTTAAAAAAAAACTACATGATCATAACTCTTGGTTAAAAGTTTACTACTAGGATATGGTAGTGAACACAGCAGTTTTCTGTGGCTACAGCTTTCACAACATTAACTGCGTGGCTCTGAAGCTGGAGAGGAGGTTTGGCTGCTGCCCAGTCAGGCCACATCCTGTGGAGAGCAGCCAGCAGCAGCTCAGCCTCATTTCCTATTGTTAGACAGGAACCAGAACACTGTCAGATCCTCCCAACCATGGGCTTTTGTCAAGATTCATGTCTGCATCGTAAGGTAAAGCGAAAGCCAGTTTGTATAGTATGTCCATTTGCTTTTAGGAACGGTGAATACTGTTGTCTAGGTGAGAGGGCTCTACAAAACAGGACAGTCCATTGAAGGCCACCAGAGGGCAATGTGAAGCCATTTCTATTCCAACAGGAGAGCAACAGAAATGGAAAACATCAGGCTTTTTTTCTTTTTGGCTCACTGACTTTGGAGTGACATATCTAGCTGAATTTTTATCATCCTCAAAATCAAATGGCCTACAAAAAACTATTAACTTTAATGTAATAACCTCGGTTGGTTTAGGCTGCTTTACTCACGGACAAACCCAGATAGTGAAACCCTTTCTTCAGAGAGACAGCAGCAAGGTGGGTAAGGTTGTTTTCATTCAGCATTTAGTTCAGATTCTGAAAATTGTCTTTATCACAACCAAAGTCCAGCTTTGATTCAGAAAATGTATGACAGGAAGTTATAAGGTCACCTTACAGAGAAAACTCCATGGCACTGTGCCATATCTTGAAGGGACCCCGGCTCGACCTGACCCCAATCTCAACCCTTGGATGTCAGGCATTCATCCAAACACTATCGTATTCACAGCGTGTGAAAAACTGCAGTCTCAGTGTTTGGTATACTCTCTCATACTGGCCATGTTCTACACGTTGCTTGTGTAGAAATACAGGCCAAAGTATGTGTGGTGATGTTTTCAGGGGCCACTTTGGGGAACCGCCAAATAAATGTTCATAAGTTATCCTTCAAAAGCCTGGAGGACCTATTGGACTGCCACTGTAACACCTCCTGAGCAGAGATTTGTTCCATCCAATCACTGTACAGTGAGGAAGGTCCCACAAAGGAGACCCACAGTTAGGGAGGGAGGTAAAGGCAAATCTGAGATAATGTGACAACAGTTCACAAGGTACTGAAGCAGTGTCTGCCTGAGATCACAGATAGCAGCTTCTGTGATGTGTATGGGCTGTGAAGAGTCCCACCAGAGTAGTTTCCCCTTTAAACATTGTGACAGATTGGGCCTCATGCAAGAAGCAATTTACGAACAAAATTGTGATGAAAGCACACTTACCAAGATAAGAACAAAACATCTAGTTTCCACAAATTGTTTGTCCAACACGAAGAAATATAGGTTTGGAATTTGAGGAACATAAAAAAATGTGTATATGATATGTTTTAGAGTAACTAGTCACTGAGTCTTACTTAAAACTATAAAAATCCTTTTCTTGGTGTTCTATTGTATGAGATAGATGAATGGCTTCTTTTAGATTTGTGCAATACTCTGGAGCCTCAATTTATGTGAAACACAGGTCAGTTCCCATGTCTCCACACCTGTAATACTACTGGTACTGTGTGTCCCTCTTCTTGCACTGCATTTAATGGGCCATAGCTGGATTTTGATTTCCTACTCTGGAAAATCACATTTACTTTGGGTTTATTTTACAAGTACATTGATTCCAATATACGGCTCAAGTTCTTATTTTTAGATTCCTCAGTATATCTCATCAATATTTCAATATCATATAGATATATTTATAAAGTATGCCAAGTTTTTTTTCTTATACTCTGCACTGAGCTATTTTAATTCATTGGTTATTTGATTTGAAATCTCTTCTGTGTTATATGTATATGTATTGTTCCTGTGAAATGGCTAGATACCCTGCTGTAACACAAATAATTTCACAAATCCCACAGGTTGAGAACCACTGGTATAACACAACTGAAACACAGTGTACCTCGTTCTTTCTCATGTCACAGCATGCAGACTATTTCCCTGCTACAAAGTCTCCCTCATGCTCCAGGACTTCCTCTTGTTGCTCTGGTGGTTGTGGGCTACAACAAACCCTGGCTCCACTGCAGCCACAAATAAGTGAAGAGATCAGTGATCTGATGATGGCCTCCTGCCTGCTACAGGTTGGTGTGTGTGGTGTTTCTGGTGTAGTAACAGTCAAAGGCAAGGAGATGTGAATGTAAAGTTAGCTGCTGGCTGTTGGACAATGGTACTTTTAAACCTGCCACAACAATGAGCTATTCTGTGCAGGTAGTGAGTGTACGCTGAATACGGATCCCTCCCAAAAGATTGTTCTATAACATTTTTTAATGCATCAGTAGAATAATTTGTATATGTGGAACAGAAGTGTTCATTTACCAACAATGTCCACAGCTTCAGTAGCTTATTATAAATATGATATGAACAAAGCAAAAACAAAAACAACTCACACCAGGTAGTTAAGTTATTGTAAAATTATATTAACAAGCAATCTTTCCTCAATTTGAAATAAAAAAATATCAGCAAATAAAGGCAACATAGGACAGATGTGTATAATGCGTAATGTTCACAGGAAAAAAACAAAAAAGAAAAAAAAATTCATCATCACATTTACAAGACTGCCGCTAAGTTTATAATGATGCCTACTAGAATTGGTTTAGAAAGCTTTGACTAACTCTGAATAACTGGGGCAATATATGTAGTCAAAGATTGTATCAAAATATAAAAAAATGTGTGGGTGGGCAAGAGGGGGGCGGGGCCAAGGGGACGACCAATGATACAGGAGGGAAGTATGAACAACCAATATGTATGACAGATTAAAATGGGCAGCTCATTCATAGCCGTTTCATTATAATCAACCAAAGTGGAAATAACACAGAAGGCTACGACGATGAAGAGCACAGAGTGTTAAGCACAGACAGGTAAAGAGATATACACCACATCTTAAAGCAGGTGTCCACATAGAGAAGAGCAGCACTAGGTAGTATGTTGTACACAGATTCTCAGCATTCATGCACTCACGTCTTATGCCAAAGTCTGGTTTCCCTTGACAGAACGTGACGGCAATTTTGCTGTTTGGATTAAAAAACAGCAGAGTGCAGAATCGCGTCGCTGTCAACAATAACAGACTGAAATTGATCGAACGGGATCAATTTGACATTGTAAGAACCATCTGAGCACTCACATACTGTGAAGGGTTGTCACAAGTCCTTCCCCCTTACGAACCTCTTTAAATAGAAGGGTGGGCATTGGGAAGAAAAGTACATTATTCATGAAGGTGGCCACAGAGTAAAAGGCAAAATCTGAGTCCTATGTCAACTGACTTTTGTGACACAGTATGCATGGCGATAAGTAAAATGACGAGACAAAGACTTTCCAAGCTCACAATGCATATACACACTCTCCAGTGTTTTAAGTGACAAAAGCGGAGACATTTCCTGCACATCTTGCACCACAAAGCAATAATTAAAAAGTACAAGAGGTAAACTTCAACCATTTTTTTTTTCTCTTCGCTCTAGGGTTGAGGGGACTGAGAGGGTTATAGGAGCTCTGCAAAGAACATAAAACGTGTCATGTATGCATTTTCAGTAGCTGGTTTTGTCACACTTGGGGTTGTGATAAATGGAGAAATTGTCCTTCATTTTGAGCAAGGAGCAGTAGTCGCCAGCCATTTAGATTTTTCTCCGATCAGCATTCTGGTGTTAAGTGTGGAACCAAAATGGCGCCTGTCCCTGATTCGGTGCTGATGTGTTTGGCCGTGTCCTATAAGTGAGTCCAGATCCTCGGAATGATGGCAAATAATGTTGGGTGGGGCTAGAGGGGGGGGTCACACACTCATCGTCATGGTTGGAGAGTACTGTAGAGGCAAAGAGAGGAGGGGATTGTTACACACCTTTTGCCTA